TCCGCCTGTAGGGGGACATGCCCGACCTAATCCTAGTCGAAAAAGAAACGACGCTATGAACATATGTTCGGAGCTCCGCGCGGATTTATTGGATCGGCGCGGGAGCCTCCCTGGCGGCGGAACTGGCGCCGCCCCTGGCGCGCTCCGCGCGCTGGGGGGAGGGGGGCAGCGCCGATCCAAGGGATCCGCGCGGAGCTCCGACGATTTTTGTTCATGCCGTTCTTGCTTCTCTTGGCGGTTCTCTATACCCAGGGCGTCTGTTCTTCAGTTTGGTTCGCCGCCGCGCCCCCGTCGCAGGCAACGCCGGGAGCGCCGTGGCGCGCCTGCCGCCGCGCGCCGCGCCCTCAGATCTGCGCGGGCGCGGCCGAGCGCGCGCGAGAGATCGCGCCTTCTCAGGGTCTCAGCGGGCTGAGGGGCTCAGGTGGCCCAGTCGGGAGCCTTGAGACACGAGGGGAAAACACACAGACACAATTAATGGTCGATTCCAAGGCCTACCTAGAAGTTGGAGCCCCTAGGAAAGCAGCATTAGTTGCTATGCTGTGCTATGCTATGCCATGCTATGCTGCGCCATGCTATGCTATGCTATGCTATGCTATGCTATGCTATGCTATGCTATGCTATGCTATGCTGCGCTATGCTATGCTATGCTATGCTAAGCTATGCTATGTCATGCTGCGCTGTGCTGTGCTGTGCTATGCTATGCTATGCTATGCTGTGCTATGATATGCTATGCTGCGCTATGCTATGCTATGCTATGCTGGGCTATGCTATGATATGCTGTGCTGCGCTATGCTATGCTACGCTATGCCATGCTATGCTGTGCTCTGCTATGCTAAAGCTCAGCGACGCTAAGATGAAGGTAAGCTAAGATGCAACTACGATAAGCTAATATGAAATAAGCTAAGATAAGATGAGATAAGCAACGCTAAGCTAAGGAGACGTAACTGGAGCGGATGCCTGGGGAACCGCCCGAGGCGTTTTCCACTGCCCGGCCCTTTAAGCCCAGCGAGTAAGAACCCTTCTAGGCAGAGCCAAGGTAGGGAAATATAGGAAACATATGAGGAGTGGGGGGGAAGACAAAAATCCAGAAAACATGCGAAAATATTGGGAATCCGGTTTATTTGTATGTATTTATTTGTGTCCCAGGGCCCCTTCATTGAGACAGGGGTCAATGCGAACGAGGGTCAGTCAGAGCGCCCGATCTTGCAGGATCCTGCAGGGCCAGGGTCGCATTGACCCGGGTCTGGGTGCAGGATCCTGCAGGATCTTGCAGGATCCTTCGCGTTGACCCGGGATTAGGTGTAGAATTTTGCAGGCTCTTGCAGGATTCTGCAAGGCCCGACTGACCCGGGTCAGGATTGACCCTGGTCAGAAGATCCCCGAGCCCAGCATTTCGGGTGTCCACAGGATGACATGAACATAAGCCTTCGGAGCTCCGCGCAGATTTCTCGGATCGGCGCCGGAGACCTCTGGCGGCGCCTCGGGATCCCGCCCCTGGCGCGCTCTGGCCGATACAAGAGAAATCCGCACGGACCTCCGAAAGTTTGAGATGATGCCGTTTTCCCCTAAGCCTTACGCAGCGTTTGCACTCAATGGACTTTTGGGCTTTTGCTGAAAGAACTGGGCCTGCGCGTCGGTCTGGGGGCTATGTGGTCGCCGTCGCCGCCCCGTCGCCCCCCCGTCGCCGCCCGTCGTCCGGGCCTGCGCGTCGGTCTGGCAGCCATGTGGTCGCCGTCGCCGCCCCGTCGCCATCTCTTTGAGTTGCGTTGCTTTTCACTGGTTCGAATCGTTCGAAGTGATCTTCATTGCTTTACATGTCTTTGATCTGCTTTTCATTGCTGTGCGTTGCAGTGCTTGACATTGATTTGCATTGATTTTCACTGCTTAGCTTGCTTTGTATTGCTTATCATTGCTTCGCATCGCTTTGCACTGCTTTGCATTGGTTGGCATTGCAGTGCTATGAATTGGTTGACATTGCATTGCTTTCCATTGCATGTCGTTGCTTTGCATTGCTTTGCATGGAGTTGCGTTGCTTTGCAGTGCTATGCATTACCATACATCGCTTTGCCGTGAAATGCATTGCTTTGCATTGACGTGCATTCCTTTGCAGTCCTTTTCAGTGCGACGCATTTCTTCGCATTGCCTTGCAATGCTTTGCGATGGTTTGAGTTACTTTGCGCTACATGGGTTGCACCGCATGGATTTCACAACCCAGATTGCATCACATTGCTTGCACCACCTAGATTGAAGTCATCGTGACCGCTTTTTTCCGTACACATCCCGGGCGTCCGAAAGTCATTCTGGCCAGCGGAAAGGGGAGACAACGGGGACCCTTCGTCGCCACGGCTGGGCGATGTTCGAAACATTGTCAGGTCAGTGTTGACCGGGGGGCGGGCATCGGGGGTAGATTTTGAGCGGCTTTGACTTCGCTTCCCCCTCTTCACAGATCTTCTCGGGGCGCATGCAGCGCAGACCTCCTGGCCGCTTCCACCTTGCGATCCCCTCCTTCGCCCGCATCGTCCGCCACCTCCGTTCCCTTTTCGCAGCAGTGGCAGTCGATTCGATAATGCCGTCGGTCTTGATCGGCGTGAGATTGTTTGTTATTCTCTGGAGCGTAACGGTCGTCACCCGCGCCAGCCCCCCTCTCCCCCCCTGGGTAACGGTAGCGATCGTGCGTGGGGGGGCTTGGACTTCCTCCACACGCCGGTACTCGCGAGCAAACTTTGGCGATCGCAGCAAGACCCGCCCCGACGTGCTCTAACCCGCCCAAGCGTTGCCGATACGCGGAGCCCCAACCCCCCCCTCTTGCCACGTGCCCGTTGCGGCGGCCGTCGCGGCCTGATATGTGATCGACCAGTCTGCACGATCGGCCCTGTGATCGACGAAGTAACTGACCAGGAGGAGAAGAGGAGGAGGAGGAGGAGCAGGAGGAGGAGCAGGAGGAGGAGCAGGAGGAGGAGGAGGAGGAGGATGAGGAGGCAGCAGGACTTGGCGGCGCATTGATCAGGCAGGGATGCAGCTCCTCGTCGGTCGGAACGGTCGGAGTGGTCCTGGTGGCCAGCTCTCCCGATCGCTGCTCGGCCTCCGCCAGGCTTGCCCCTCTGGTCGGCAAGCACGCCCTCGGTCCGATCGACCTTCTCCTCCCCGTCCTCGCCCTCTTCCTCTCCCTTCTTCCTCCATCAAGATTCCGACTTCGCTGCGACGGCCTTCGGAGCTCCCCGAAGAGCTTTCTGGCCTCCAGAAGCAAAACCACCTGCGCCAAGCGGTTGTTGGATCCTCGATCCTCCTCTTCCGCTCCTCCTTCTCCAAACTCCGCCCAGGACTGGTTCCCAGACCCCTCCTGGCTCCTGGGGTCCATACCGTCCATTGCTTCGAGCCGTGCCCGGCAGCAGCGACGAGTGGGCCCCCGAAGTCAAAACAACGAGGAAGGACACGAGACGGAGGGCATGAGGCCTCCGCCCCAGATGCGGACTCTTCGGGGGCCTCCGGAAGCTCCTGGAGGCCCGAGCAGGGTAGGATCCAAGACGCTTCTTCGCAGGGTAGGATCCAAGACGCCACCCTCGCAGGCATCCACAAGGCTCGATGACAATGCTTAGCAGCCTGAGGAGGAGAAGGAGATGGACGAGGAGGAGGAGGATAATGAGAAGGAGGAGGAGGAGGAGGAGGAGCGAAGGATGATGACGATGATGATGATGATGATGATGATGATGATGATGATGATGATGATGATGATGATGATGATGATGAGGAGGAGGAGGAGGATGAGGATGATGAGATGATGATGATGATGATGATGATGATGCTGATGATGATGATGCTGATGATGATGATGATGCTGATGATGATGATGATGCTGATGCTGATGATGCTGATGATGCTTGATGCTGATGATATGATGGTGATGGTGATGGTGATGGTGATGATGATGAGGAGGAGGAGAGGAGGAGGAGGCGAAGGAGGAGGAGGAGGAGGTTAAGGAGGACGCGAAGGAGGAGTATGAGGAGGCGGTTGAGAAGGAGCAGGAGAAGGACAGGACCACCTCGGCGCAGCCCCCCGAGAGCCTCCGAAGGCCTACGAATACACTGCCGGCCTCCGGGCGAGCGATCGCGCCACCGCCTGGCCACGTGCGATTGCAGACTCCTGCGCAATCGGACGAGTGCGCGGACGCACTCCGCCTCCTCCTGCCCCTCCTCCTCCTCCTCTCCTCCTCCTCCTCCTCCTCCTCCTCCCTCCTCCCCCTCCTCCTCCTCCCTCCTCCTCCTCCTCCTCCATCCTCCACCTCCTCCTCCTCCTCCTCTTCCTCCTCCTCTTCCTCCTCCTCCTCCCTCCTGCCCTCCTCCTGCTCCTCCTTCTTCTCCTCCTCCTCCTCCTCCCCTCCTCCTCCTCCTCCTCCTCCTCTCCTCCTCCTCCTTCTCCTGCTCCTCCTCCTCCTCCTCTTCCTCCTCCTCCTCCTCCTCCTCGTCCTTCTCCTCCTCATCCTTTTCGTCCTCCTCCTCCTTCTCTTCCTCCTTCTCCTCCTCCTCCTCTTCCTCCTCCTCCTCCGTCCTTCTCCTCCTCCTCCATCCCCCTCCGCCTCCTTTGCCTCCTCCATCCTCCATCCTCCTTCCGAGGCTCGCAGGCTCGGACGGGGTCCAAAAGCTCTCTTCGCATGGGCACCCCACCCCAAGTGTCCCTCTGCCTCTGTATCTCTCTCTCTCTCTCACTCTGTCTCTCTCTTTCCACGACTCTCTGTCTATCTCTCTCTCTCTCTCTCGCACTGCCTCTTTAGTTATTTTTGGTCCTTTCGCTCTCTCTTTCCCCTTGACTCTTCACTCTCTGGGCGTCGAGCCTCCATCCTGCGCGAGCGGCGAACGATACTCGGCGAGACTCGGTGCCCAAAGCCGCCGCCGAGGCTGTGCGGCCCGGGCGGCGCGGCCCCTGCGGGAGCCCGCCGCGCGGCGGCCGCCGCGGCGCCGCCCCTGCGCGGCGGCCGCGGCCCGCGGCTCCTCTGGCTAGGCGGCATGGCCGGCGCCGCGGGCACCGCCCGCAGGTCGCGGTGCGGGGAGTCACCGGGCGCGTTCCACCACTCGCAAAGTGCCTACTCACAATCGTCAGAAAAACACACCCAGACATGATGGCGTCGTAATAAAATCAAGGCGGGAGGTTTTTGGTTATTTTCAGCCCCGGGGGGCCATCGCCGGGCCTCGGGGCCGTGAGAAAACGAGTCGGGACGAAAAGCCGGTCCCGGGGAAAGGGTCGGGACTTCCAGGGACGCCGTCCTGAAACAATCAGGACGTCGCATGTCTGGGCATGCCTGCCTCGACGTCATGGATCGTGGATCCCCCTCGGCGGATCCAGGCCAATGGCGAGCAGCTGCTTCTTGCGAAGAGTGGAGCGCGCTTGTCTGGGGAGGGAGGGCCCAGGGCAGCGAGAAGGGGGGCACACATATGGGCTTGGGCAGGCTCGAGGTTGTCGGTTCCAGGTTCCAGGCTTCGGGCGTTTGCGTCGGCTCTTGGCGGCTTCCTGGCCACGGGGCGCTCTCCAGCGGCTGCGCCACGCCGATGGCGTTAACCAGAGGTGCCGGGGTCGCCCCGAACGGCCACTGTGGCGTCGAGTTGGGGCCGGAAACCCACGGGGCGACGTCAGGAGGGGATGGACATACGGGGCGCATCGAGCCCTAACTTCGGAGGCCTAGAAGTTGACACCAGCACCGAGATCGGCGGCGTGCCTCCACCGAGGGAAGAAGATCCCGAGCTCGGTGATGGTGGTAATCTTCTGGCTTCCAGGGTGACCGAAACATTACCGCCGACACCGAAATCGAGGATCATCTTCCCCCCATGTAGAGGCAACCCCCTGTGTTGGTGTTGGTGCCGATTTCCAGGCCTCCACTACGCAGCGCCGACCAGGGGTCCGATGGCCCCGTCCTGCCCAGGAGCGTGCGGGCTCCACGTCGGGGGCCGAGTGCCGCTCCGTCGGCGAGGTGCAGCGGGCCTGTCCGCAGAGGCCGGCGGCGCGACTCGCAGACTTCTAGTGCTCGGGGGGCTTGAGGCGGGGGTCAACGCAAGCGGGGGTCGGCCAGAGCGCCGGATCTTGCAGGATCCTGCATAGGGACAGGGTCGCATTGGCCCGGGCTTGGGTGCAGGATGCTGCAGGATCCTGCGCGTTGACCCGGGCTTAGGCGCAGGATCTTGCAGGACCTGCAGGATTCTGCAAGGCCTCACTGACCCGGGTCTGGATTGACCCGGGTCAGAAGGTCCCCGAAGAAGGGCTCCCACGAGGGCGCGAAGTTATTCGCGGTTCGCGCTTCGCGGTCCTCGTTCCTTCTCCCCCTCCTCCTCGTCCTCCTTTTCTCCCTTTGGGGGGGCGGCGCGAGAGCGCGAAGTTATTCGCGCTTCGCGCTTCGCGGAGCGCGAAGCGCGAAGTTGGGAGCCCTTGGAAGTGAGGTGACACCTCTGCTGGAGCACCCAGGTCAAGCAAAGCAGGCAGACAGTACCAGCTGGGCAGTGAAGTCAACTGCCTCTTGGCGCAGCCGACCTTAGCCCCAGACAGGGAGGGGGGGGGAGAGTCGTCGACTGCATGCAAGGGTGGCCCTTTTTCCGGAGTGTTCCTTGGTGCGTGCCCACGGGCACCACCGATCGCGGAATTAGATGCGACAGCAGCGGTTGGCGCTTCCCCTCAAGCTGCGCATCAAAGGTCACTCTTGCCTAGGGCCATTCTTGGAGCGTGTTTCTTTATTGTACTGCTTGGGGCATAATGGGCATGATAGCCCCCAGCCCCCCCCCTCCCCCCTATGACGTAACGCCCCTCTCCCCCCAGTGCGCCCCGGGCACTGCCGCCGTGCGCGCGGCGGGGGGGAGGCGTTACATCATACCCCCCCCTCCCTGGCCCCTCCCCCCCACTGTAGTGCCCATTATCGTCGAACATGAAGAAAGGCGCTCTTGTGTGGCCGAGAGAGGGAGGGAGGGAGGGCCGTTCCCTATGACGAGTGCCTCTAGGCCGCGGGGTAAGGTATGGGCTGAACCGCCTCTGCCGCCCCTTGGCTCGAGCTGGAGCGGCCACGATTTGCTCCAGATTCCTCCCTCGAGGATCGGGGATCGAACAGTGGCATACACAGAACATGATACCGGAGAGAACAATCATCATCTTTTCAGGGCTGTAGGACTATAGGGCTACAGGGCTATATGGGCTCTTGGGCGCTATATGGGCTATAGGGCTATAGGGCTATAGGGCTATAGGGCTATAGGGCCATAGGGCACCCCTGGGCACCCGGGCACCCCCGGGCACGCCCAGGCACCCGGGCATCCGGGCACCCGGGCACCCTCTGGCACCCGGGCACCCGGGCGTGCGGCGAACATCGGCGGCAAACCGAACCAAACCATATGAATCCGCGAGGACCCCTACAGAGGCAAGCCCTGATCGGGGAAAAACTCAGAGGTCCGCGTGGAAGAGGGGGCCCAGCCTACCTCACGGCCTCGAGGTACTCGTCGTAGGGAATGACCCTCGCTCTCTCTCTCTCTCTCTCTCGCGTCTCGGGGAACAAACGATGACATAAACACAAACATTCAGAGGTCCGCGCGGACCTCTGAGTTATGGTGTTTGTGTCATCGTCTGTTTCCCGAGGGGCGAGAGAGCGCGAGGGTCATTCTCTACGACGGCTACCTCGAGGCCGTGAGGTAGGCTGGGCCCCCTCTTCACTCCCCCCGGTGGGGTAGGCTGGGCCCCCTCTTACCTCTTCTTCGAGGCTGCGGGGTAGGCTGGGGCTGAACGACTTCTGCCGCCCCCTCGGCTCGAGATGGAGCGGCCACGAGTTGCTCCAGGTGTTTGTTCCTTGGAGGTTCCAGGAACATGCGATGGCATACACTTCAAACGCGTGAAAGTCCGCGCCGTTGTTTTTGGATCGGCGTGGACCTCCGAGGTGTTACGTTTGTGCCACTGCTTGTTCCCCGAAAGGAGGGAGGGAGGGAGGGAGGGCCATTCCCTTCGACGAGTACCTCGAAGCCGTGCGGTAGGTTGGCCCCCCTCTTCCCTTCCCCCCATGGGGTAGGCTGGGCTCCCTCTTCCCTCTTCCCTCTTCCTCGAGGCCGCGGGGTAGGCTGGGGCTTATCGACTTCTGCCGCCCCTCCCTGCAAATGCGTGTACACTTTCATGTGTGGTCGCCAATACGTTGTGTGATGAGGTCTGTGCGCCACAGGGCGGGATCGGGGGAGGGGAGATGTTTTGTTTGTTTTATTGTGCCACCTTAAAAGGGCGCCTGGGCGCCTTGGAAGGGCGCCTGGGTGCCTTGGAAATGCTCTGGGCACTTCTCAAAGGCGCCTGGGCGCCTTCAAAAGGCCCCGGGCGCGTTTTAAGGCCGCCAGGCGCCCTATTTTTTTTTGTTGGTTCTGGTTTTGTAAGTGCAGTTTTTACGTTCCCGTCGGGTCCTGGAGGTTCTCTTGCTTCGGTCGGCGTTCTGCCAGCTGCAGCTCGTCGAAGGCTTTCTGGGGAGTGCCTGGATCGTCCCGGACGGCCGCCGGATGCACGAGTTGTGATCCGAAAGCCACGAGAGGAAAGGCTCAGGGGGGGGAGACTTCCATACGTAGGGGGGTTCTCAGCCCTTGTCGAAGTGTGGAGTGGTTTCCATAAGCTGCGCCTCGTCGAGAGCGTTCTCGGGTGCCGAACTCGTGCCGAGCGATCGCTGGAGAGTCTAGTTATGACTCGGAAGCCAGGGGGCAGCGTTCGCGAGTCGGGATGGAGGAGGAGGAGAGGGAGCGAGGGAGGGAGGGAGGAAGGGAAGGAGTGTCTTGCGCGCGTCTCGCGCGGGGCCCCTCTGGATCTCAATGTCCATCTTTCAGCGGTGCTATCGTTGAGTGTATGCCCCCTTTCCTCGATGAGCCGAGCGTTCTTCACGTGCTCAATGCCCATCGGGATTCTGAACTTGGCGCGCATCGGCGGGAACCAGGGGAGAGGATACGTTGAGCTACGGTGTATGAAGAGTTGCCGCGCTTGCTGGCGCATGAAGGCCGCAAACGAATGTCTCGTCCTCACATGATGAGAGGGGCCCAGTTTTTCTTCACACCCGCGTCGCACCAGCGTTTCTTCTCTACCCCCTCCTCACGCTGTTTCCCTACGCACTCGCGTACATGTCAGACAATGCACCATGCCCTTTCCTATTTCGCCCGCTCCCCTATCGCACAACACACCATACGTACGCACACAAACACACCACGCACCACAAACGTGTGCGCACATACATGGGGCGTGGCAGGCGTGACGATTTCTCGACACCAGAAGGGGGTGCGCAGGGAGGGATCCCTGAGCTTCCTGGCTCTTCGCCCGACCTTACAGGACTCTTGTGGGGCGTGGCTGGCGTGGCGCTTTCTCGACAGCAGAAGGGGTGCAGGGTACGGGCCGTATCCGCTTTTGGCTCGCAGGCGTGACTGGCGTGATACGTTGTCGACACCTCAGCGGCTGCACAGGGGGCGGCTTGTTGTGCTCAAGAGGGCGGGAGGATGAGGAGGAGGAGGCGGAGGAGGAGGAGGAGAAAGAGGAAAAGGAAGTAAGCGTGAATGGCGACTCAGGCTCATAGCCCTTCTCCACGTGCTAGCGAGAGTGCAAGGTAGGCTGCGCAGACCCATCATTAAGTCGTGGCAGGGTACCAACACTCGACCCTGTTGGTGGTCCACCACAGGCAGTAGCAGTGGCAAGCTTGTTTGGATCCAGGTTGCCATGGCCGAGTGGGTCTCCACCAAGGGCCTCGTTAGTGGGCTTGTGGTTTGGGGTCATGAGGAGGGCCTCGTTCATTTCATACATTCGGAGCTTGTGTTAGCGGGGCGCAGTTCTTGTTTTCTTACTCGTCAGCTTCAGCTTCTAGTGGAGCTCTACCGCATGCCGCAAGTTTGGACTTCAAGAGCGCGGTATCCTCTCCGTTGGAGTCACGACAGGCGGTGTTTCCAGGCTGCCACTTCGCCACGCTTGTGTTGCAATTGATTATGCTTGAACCCGCTTGTACTGTACGAGCTTCGTATCCGAGATGATCGTTTTCGGTTCAGTGGTTTATGCTTTCGGCCGTCA